CACGATTATTTAACATATTATGTGTATATGTACCAATTGGAAATGTGAAAATTTAAGACAAAGTACAGTTAAAAAAAAATTATAGTAACTTAAAAAAACCTTATTCTTCAGTCCACTCTTTGATGATGATAAAAGAACATTTATATTTTCAGAAGACCTCTGCATTTAAGTATGTAGCTAGAGCCTGGGCTGTTTTCTTTTGTGTTTCTGTTGGCTTAGTATTTCCATAAACATTTGGTCTTTACACATCTGTTAAATAATCGTGTTAGGAAGCACAGTTTTCCTTAAAACCAGATACAGTATTAATTTCATACAGTTGAGAGTTTTCTTGCTTTGTGGTCCAAAGTTTCAGAGTGTCAGATTTATGAGGTAGACAGTCTGCAACTTGCCAGGAAGTGAAGGTCAAGGACTTTTTTCTTAAGCGTATGTCATCTTCCCAAGGTAGTTCGCTGGCACATAGCCTTTCTGCCCTTGAGCTTCAGCCAACCACCACTCTTTGTTTCCACTTAGATCACAAAATCTAAGTATCTGAACTCTCTGATACTCCTGAAGGCTGAGCTCATGATCACTCCGTGCTTGGAAAGCGTGGACTGCATAGAAAATCTAGACAAAGAACCATGACATTATTAGAACCAGAACCAAAACCTTAAGGAAACTTAGTTTTTTAAGCTTTTAGAAACACTGCTAAGATGTTCTTGTAATTTACAAGTCACATTGCACACCTCTTTCCGTTGGACATTTTAGACTGTGACCTACAGAAGAATGGGAAGAACTCTTACTCCCTTGGAAGTAGTATAAATTGCCCATGATTGAAGGCAGCTTTACAGTTTCCTTAAAACACTTCTCAATGTTAATTCTTTTAATCAGAAGTATCTTAAAAAAAAGAAGAAGAAGAAGAGGAGGAAGAGGAAGAGGAAGAAGAAGAAGAAGAAGGAAGAAGAAGAAGAAGAAGAAGAAGAAGAAGAAGAAGAAGAAGAAGAAGAAGAAGAAGAAGAAGAAGAAGAAGAAGAGGAGGAAGAAGAAACACTGACAGGTAGTTTTACGATGAAAAGTGGGAGAAATGCTGAAGATTCAGCAAGAAGAAAATAAGTTCTGGACTTTCCTCGTACCAAGAAACTATGTACTCATTCCTATAGTATTTTCTGAGACTAACAACACAGAAAATGCTTATATTAAATAGAAAAAAAAAAAAAACCCATAGAATTAGGAGCTATAAAGATGACTCAGTGGTTAAGAGTGCATACTGCCCTTGGAAAGGACCCAGTTTGGTTTCCAGCACACACATCGGGCAGCTCATAACCTCCTGGAACTCCAGCTTCTGGGGATCAGACATCCTCTCCTGAAATCCATGTGTACACACATAATTAAGAATTAAAAATAAGCCTTTTTAAGTATAGTATTAGATGAGCAATGCATTCCTGTTACTAAGTAATTTCTTTTGATGGTAGGATTATAAGTAATTTTCACTGTTATTTCTTTGTTCTTTTATTTTCCAAACCTTTATAAGCACATTGTATTTAATTTATAGCTTTGCAAATTATTTAGTTGACCTAGAAGAAATTAATAAAATATATCTTCATTAAAAATGTCTATGACTGCAAGAAAATATAATTATTAAAGTGGAAGGCCTCAAATAAATTTAGTAATCATAAGACTGGTAATAAAAATGTTTCATTACAGTAGAAAATTAAGCAGTTGGCTCACAACATGCATACATTTGTTTAATCAAACTTTACAAAATCCTGACACATTTTTTTTATTTAGGAACCTTACAGCTCAGCTAGGAAAATAATAAATATTGATTAAAACAGAATCACCACCAACAAAAAACGCTATGCATAAATGGTGCATCAGCATTTGTAAAGAAGAAGCCTTTCATAAGGGTCAAATAGACAAATATGTCAAAAATACAGATGTGGATACATGAAAAGGATATAATGAAGAAAGAAGCAGATTAAATTTTAAGACAGGGCAACTAGATAAAGGGAACTATGACAAATGGGGTGACTTTACTTTGCAGGAAAAGAGACTGGACAGTGCAGGAGAGGGCTGTATTGTCAGCTGTTGCTATTTTAAAGCTTAAACCATTGCTTAACTTAACAAAACTCTGTTCCATTGATTGGTATGTTAGCAAGGAGCCTGAGGTGTTACTCAAGGAAAGGAACTATTATCTGAAAGGTTTTCCCCTAATTCTAAGGTGATACTTATGAAGTGATGCTGGGGGAATTTGTTAGGTTATAAAGATATCCTTCATGAATGGGGCTGATTCTTCAAAGTCGTCTGAGATCATTACCCTTCTACTGAGAACCCAGCAAGAAGGTGCTGTCTATGATCTAGGAAGTTTGTCTGGCTTCCCCAGACAAAAATGCTAGTGCCTTGACCTTAGACTTCAGTCTCTACAGCTGTGAAGTTTCTGTTGTTTGTGAGCCACCCAATGTGTGGCAATTTGTTAATATCAGCTTGAATGGACTGATGTGCACATATAAATTTGTCTCCACTGGCCATATTATGGTACACAGTAATAATACTATTTGGTTGAGATAGGCTGAAAGTTTTGGATATCATCTAGAAGATTGTGGTATATATGCGTAAGGCCAGGTGGTTGGAAATGGGTTATTTTGTAGTGAACTTAAGAAAAAAAATGAAGGTGCTGTAAATTCTTTAGCAATAAAGTGTTAGCAGTAATACCTCTTAAAGAGCCTGTGGCTGTCTATGTCACATGGGCTTTATCCTCAACAACTATGTCAGTTAGGAAAAGAAGCATTTCTTAAATTTATTTTTCAATTTTATTTTTATTTTATGGGTATGGGTGGTTTGCCTGCTTGTAAGTGTACCTGTGTCATGCACTGCCCACAGAGGCCAGATGAGGGCATTAAATCACCTGGAACTGGAGTTATGACAGTTGTCAGTTGCTGTGTGATGCTGGGAATTGAACCTGGGTCCTCTGTGAGAGCGGCCAATTCTCTTGACTGCTAAACTGTCTCTACAGCCTCTATATTTTTTAACCTTTATTTTACTTTTGAGAATTTCATACTTGAGTATTGTGTTTGCATTATTTCCATTCCAGTTCCACTCCAGTTTCTTCCATGTTCACCACACTCCCTCTCAATTTCTTGTCCTCATTATTGTTACATATACACACATACATTTATAAAAATACATGTGTGTATATATACATATGTTTATGTATACATATATGATGCACTGAGTCCATTTACTCGTGCTTGTGTGTACAAGTGTTTAGGGATGCCTACATGAGATTAAATAACCTCTCAGGGAGCTAGTCCCGGAAGGAAACTGATCTCCCTCCCTCATAATCCATCCATTGCCTGCCACTCTTCATCTTGAAATTTTCTCCATTGACCTTGGCATTTCAACTTGTTTTGTCATTATACAGATCTCATTAGACTACCATACTATGGAGATTTTGTTATTGCAGCTTCCCTAGCATGTCTAGACTGCATTAACTAGCAGCAGGTGTCTTGTCCCTCTGGCTCTTACTGTCTTTCCACCCCCTTCTTCATTCATGATCCCAGAACCTTAGCTGTAGAAATTGCCAGTTTATTTTATTTTTAATTGAGTATGTCTGTGTGAGTATGTGCACGTGAGTGCAGGTGCCTCTCAGAAGCCAGTTGCTTCGGATTCCCCAAGCACTGGAGTTACAGGTGTTTGTGAGCTGCCCAATGTCATTGCTGGGAATTGAACTGGGGTTTTCTAGAACAGTATATGCTCTTAACTGCCAAGCCAAAAATAATATTTTTATGTGTATGAGTGTATTGCCTGCATATGTGTAAGTGCACCCGTGCTGTGTGTTGTACAGAGGCATTGGATCCCCCTGGGACTGGAGTTATGGCTAGTTGTTAGCCACCATATGGGTGCTTGGAATCCTGTGCAAAAGCAGCCAGTGCTTTAACCACTGAGCCATCTCTCCAACCCCAAGAAATATTTCTTAATCATAGAGGTACCAAGGAGTGCTAGAACCCATTTCTAAATCCAAATCCTGTGCTTGATCCATTTCTTATAATATTTTAGGACTCAAATTCATCCTAGCAAGGATATACAGAAGGTATTCTTGGGGAATAGAAATAGCCTCAACATGTTGCTCCTGTTGTTTTGTAGCTAAAAAGTGAAAACATTGAATGACTCCATAATATTAGAATGGAGTTTGGTTCACAAAAACATCTAGGAGTGTGATGTGCTAAGTTATAGCCCCCGAAATAATCTATAGGAGCTAGCATCAGCAACTACTAGTCACTTGTGCAGTTTGTATAAGTGATATGTATGCTTTATCAGTGCAGATATTGATTTGAAGCAGGATGGATTAGCAACTAATGTTCCATCCCTAAATACCCAGAGTAGTCTTTCACTTTGGCACAAGTTTTCTCAAAGGGGATATAAAATCTGCTTAGAACTGTTTGGTATTAAATCATAGTATGTATTTTAAACAAGTATGAATTCTCATGAAATCATAAATTTAAAGTGCAAGATTATATAACATGTACTTTTGATGCTGTTAGATGATTGCAGTTCAAGTTTGTTTAGGATGGGCACTTTTAGTTTTTATATAACATGTTAATGGAAGCATACATTGCATACTCAGACTGGAAGTGCATCTGCTTATAAAAATGGTGTCTCTGGTCTTCATTTCTGTTTTTAGATTGAAAATGAGAAGTTTTCAGTTTGTCATGAACTTAAGAGCTAAAAATTTTCTTACTATTTTAATATCTATGCTCTATTTTCCTAACTTTATGTTCTCATCCAAGAACATGAACGAAAACGTTAATAATATGAACCATAATCATGCATTCATCCTTTTTCCTTGGCATTTATTAAAATATATTTTATTGTTTGCTTCTTTTCACTCTGTAACACCCTGGCTTATTTTATGTCTGATATGCTAGCAATACAGTCCAACTCTCCACAGCATTGCTTTAAAAACTAACGCTGTACTATTGACTCCCAGTGTAGTGCTGTTCATAATCATTGTATTGTTCCATGTGGTTCTGTTGCCAGATCAGCAGTCTCATATGCCATGTATTCCTACATTTCTATTTTCTTTCTTGACCTCACTAAACTATACAGTCTTTATTTTATCTAAGTTGTCTAGTTAAGAATAAAAAAATTCATAATAGTTTAATTTTCTTTACCAAAACTAAAAAGCTATAAAACTAGTATTTACTGCATTAGTTCAGAAGCCGAAATAGTTATATTTCATGAGAAGGTACTGATTCTGGGGCTGGACAGATGGCTTATCAGTTATTATTTTTATGTGTATGAGTGTATTATCTGCTTGTATGTAAGTGCACCTGTGTTGTGCAATGCCTGTGGAGGTCAGAAGAGAACGTCAAATTCCCCTGGAACTGGAGTTATGGATGATTCTTAGCCACCATGTGAGTAATGGGAATCAAATCTGGGTCCTCTGCAAGAACAGTGAATGTTGTTAACTGCTGAGCCATATCTCCAGCTCCCAGAGTCCATTCATTACCCCCCCCCCTTAGATTCCAGAGGTCCAGGTTAAAGACTCAGATCTAGTGTAAAAATCACAGAGCCAAAATAGCCTAAATCAGTCTACAAATGTCTATATCTCAGTGACTTTTATAGCTTCAAAGATGCCCCTGAATATAAGGTAGAGACCAAGACTTCCTATTCATCTGTTCTTGTCAGAGTTAACTTCAAGTATCCATAGGACTACATTACAGCCTCCCTTTGGCAATAAGCTTCTACATTTCTGGAGGAGAACAAAAGTCCTACCACTGTCAGAATGTAAAGGACAAGAAACAGTGGTGCCAAGCTAAGCAGAATAGGTTACACTTGCTGTTCCTGATTTTTAAAAATAGAAGTTTAAATAGCCATACAGAAAATTGCTTTTGGGGTACATCAGCTTTGAGGTTTGACAAAGATAAAACTTGCTCTTAACTTTTCAGTCACTTAACATGAACCTCTTACAGTATATTATTCTCTTAGACTGTCATCCATAAGTATAAGGGGTTAACTTCATATCCTTCCTAAGAGCTGATGGAGTGGAAATGTTAGCCCTCTGGCAAACATGAAAATACAGTCCTCCCTATTTCCAAGGGAAGAAGAGCAGTTGCAGTAGGAGAGGAATCTGAAAACTGCTAGCCCATATGGTTCTGTTGTTGGAATTCAGCATTAAAGGACTTGCTCCTCCATGCCTCTCCTTTTCCTCTCCTTGCTGGAGTTTTCCACAGGTGGTATTTCTTCTTGTACTAAATTTATTGAGGTCAGCCTTGTCCTTGTGTGGGGGAGGCCTTCAATTTCAATTGAGTCATTTTAACCTGATTTTAATCCAAGATCCTATCTCACTACAATTCAATGTGCATTTCCTAATCAAGTTTTATTAGTCATAATGTTTATATTTATGTCTTTAATGCCAGTATCTAAAACTGGTTCTAAACTCAGATAACAGAGAGAGGAAAAAAACAAAAAAACCCATAACGCTTTTTAGAGCAATACTGTCAATATATTTTTTATTTGGAATAAAAGAAAATTGCTCCCTTCTTGCCCACCCAGTCTCTTGTTAAAGGAAACTTGTTTAATTTTACCTGGTCCACACTGATAGGAACATTTGGGGAGAACTTCTTTGCTATAGCAGCTAATGGGAACCAGTTGTATACTGCTGCTGATCCTGCTGAAGAAGTCTATAAACAATACGCTTAGTCCTTGCAAAGCAAGGTAAGAACTGGAATCAGTATTAAACTTTAAGCTGCTGTGACAAACTTGGTCCTCAGATTTCTGTCTTAGGTTACTGAGGCAAGGCAGAACCTACTAGGATATTCAATCAAGTCTACAGATTTTACCGATTAAAAAAATCCGTTACAGAGTTCCATAACTGGCCACACAGAGAAAATATATGTCTGAGAGATGCTCAGCCCTAAGTGACACATCTACAGTGGAAGTTCTCCACCTAAGGCTCATGGAACATAGCAAAGCAGGGGACAGAAAGAATACTAATATATTCCTCAACTCTCAACAGGGAAGCTTCCTCATACAATAGAGTGCGATGCACACAGAAGGCCACAACTGGCTAAATTTTAGAGAATAAGAGACTGTAAAGTTCATGTCCCTGGATTTAGTATAGGACTTCTATACTAAACCCCATCCACCCACAACCCAGACCATTGCAGAAGAAGGGGTGGAAAGATTTTAAGAGGAGGGATTGCCGGATTAATATAAGGAAATAGGCTTTCAAGCCTCTGAACTTGCAACAATGGTGACAGCATGCACAAGACCCATGCTGACTCAATCAGACAAAAACCCAGCCTAAAACTGGGAAGATGGGCATCAGACCCCAACCTTAGCCAAGGAACTATTGGCAAATGATTACTGTGAGGTGATAGAGTAGATCTTCTTTAAGGGAGTGACTTTCGATTGGCCAACTGGACTCTAGTAGATGAACTTGCACCAAGGGACATCGATACAAATGCTTGACTGGATAGGACTTAACATATATGACAGAATACCTGAAATCTGGTGAGGGAGGCTATGGTAGTGGGGAGAGGAAGGGGTCTAAATTTTATTAAGATGTACTATATGAAATGCACAAAAACTCAAAAAAATTTTCGGTCAAAAATCCATTAATTAGTTGCCATTATAACAACTTTGGGGGAGTTGTAAATTAAGAGAATGAATGCACTGTTTCAAAACTACAAAATAGAAGAGTGATAACACATTGTAATGTTCAGGTAAGTTAAGAATCAGTCATGATTGGGAGGAAAGGTTTGCAGATAAATATATAAACTTACAGAGTTTATCGAGAACTCCAGTAAGAGGGAAAGTGACACAAGGAAAAAGTGGGCAAATATTAATAGAAAACAGAATGGTAAATAAGCATGCGAGACGATGTTCAGCAGCATTCATCTTTAGAGACATGCAATCAAATCCACCATGAAGGCTGTATTACAAAAGACAACTAGTGCTATCAAGATGTAAAGAAATTACAACCAACAGCCTTCATACATTACTGGTAAGAATGTAAGACATGCTTAGCCTCTTTGACAAACTGCATTTTCTTCAAAAGTTAATCCTAAGTTTACCATGCCAAGGTGCATATCCATTCCTGAATGTGTATTCAAGAGAAGTGAAATCCACAGCCTTGTAATGTCCATAGCAGCGTTATTCACAATCACACCAAAATAGACATTGCTAAATTAACTGGCAAATGGTCAAAGTACTAAATCCATGGAATGGAATACTATCAGACAATGGAAATACAGCTATGT